GACGGAGGGAGGTGTGGCTTCAGAGGGCAGGGCTGATGAGGAAATTCTGTGGTCTTAACCCTTAAAGGTCACTGATCACTTCTACCTCACATAACAAATAGAAACAACACCACATCACAAAATACGACCAATTAAACTCCCTCTCCCCATTTTAACCGTATTGGTACTTTTTGGAGACATCCAATTCTTCACACGTTTCCTTTTTCATTCCTCTCTAGTGCTGAAGCCTGTGTATACTATGCTGAATAATCTCCAAAATCATAAACCAGGGTCCCAAAAAGGCCAAGCTGGGGTGGGCAGGACCCTGAGTCTCTGCTGATTCTTCAAGTTCCAGCTACAAACAGAGGTCTGTCTGAATGAGTGAATCCACAATATTAGCATGTGGGCGGATCAAACGCCACGTTACTGAAGTGAGTCTAACTCGAGATTTCGACAGGACCTCAGGACACGCCCAGAGAAGCCAGGGCGGCAGCGAGAAGGGTCGAGAAGGCTGCCAATCCCACAACTAGGTTCTAGACCGCCGCCGCCTGGGCCCCAAGGGGCGGGGCGGGAGGGGGTGGGCGTGGCCAGGGCCGAATAAAAGGCAACAGGGAAGGGCCTGAACCTAGTAGCGAGCAGCAAGGCGGGTCAGGGAAAGAGAAATCTAGGGTGGCTCAAGAGCAGGGGTGGGGTGGGGCGGGGCCGGGCAGAGGCGGGGAGAAGGCCTGGAAGGCGGAGCGCGCTTTGAGGCTGCCACCTCGTTAGCAACCAGGCCGATAGGGGGCGGGCAGGAGGCGTGTCCAGGGGCGGGGCCATGGCGCAAATCCGGGGCAGGCAAGTCCAGAGGGTGCAGGGGCGTGGCCAGGGTTTAGGGGCGCAGCCAAGTCCGGCAGGCGGGGCGGGGCCGGGACACTGGTGCACCCCGATTGTGTGCGGGGCGGGGCAGCCACCTCCGGGTGGGGGGCGATCAGAGGCTCTGCACCGCTGCCTGCGCAGGCTCCAGGCCTAGCACGTGCAAGGCCAGGCCGAGCAGACCGAGCAGCAGCAGCAGCCCTAGTAGCATCCGCAGGAGTGTCTGCGCTGCGGACCCTCGGGGCTCTCGGCTAGTGGACTGCAAGTATCGCTCCACTGAGTCGGCGAAGTTGAACTTGTCTGGCGCGTAGCCCAGCTGAGCTCGGGCCTTGTTGATCTGGAAGGTGTGCGTCACGGCCACGGACTGCACCTGCGGGAGAGGCGGGGCAGCCGAGGGCCGGGCTAGCTGGAGGGGCGGGCATCCTCTGCCTCTTTATTTAGAGGAGAGGGCAGAGATTGCCGCTCCGTCACTCGGAGATGCAAAAGAACTCCGCGGCCAGGCCCTCATCAGGGGGGCACTTCCTACATCCCTTCTCTCACATCTCCATTTCCTTGAAGGGCGCCGCCTCCAGGATGGCTTCTGTGTCTCTCCAGGCCCACCGAATTCACACTGTGCCCTAAGAAGCAAAGGTCTCACCTCTGCACTTCCTGCCCCTGCTAGGTGAGGACCTCAGGAGGCCTGAGGTCTGGGTGTGGCTCCCTGGAAAATTATCTCTAAGGTAGGGCTTTGGCTTCCTACCCATTGGTTGGGCCTCAGGCACAGCCTTCAGGCCCTGCTGGCTGTCTTAACTGAGCGTCCCTAAGAGCGGATTCTCTCCAAAATCTGAGTTGGATTTCCCTGCTACCGGATGGCTGGGCCTGCTGGGTTCCAGGATTCGAATAATGACAGCTATCAGTTGTGGACCACATACTCTGTTTCACCCTGGCTAAGTCCTTTACATTTCTTGCATCATTTTGTCCTGAGATAGCACCATTTCCTCTTTGCATATCTGGAAACTGAAGATCAGAGAGGCACCGACTTGCCCACAGTCACACAGAGGGTCACATGCTAGCCTGTGTTCTTCGCTGCCTTGCCGAGGCCTGAAGATACCCTCTGACCGGACTCATTTCTTCCCGTTCCTCAGATGAACCCTGGGGAAGAGTGTGCTGGCTGCTTGATGCTCTCGTGGCGATGAAACAGCCCCTGGGACCAAGCTGTCAGGTCCCTCGTCCTGGACACTTTAGTGGGAAAGGGAGAGGCCAGTTCTTGTCTATTCTGGCCCCGCTGGTCAGCGCAGGGCTTTGGGGAGTGCGGCAGTAGGCTTGTTCCAGCTGAGTTAGAAATATGCATATCGAGCCTCCAGACACCAGGTCCTGGCTCAGTGTTCTCAGCGATCAGGTTTACATGCGACCACGTGACCTCCCAGACTTCCTCAGAGCTGGCCCCTTGCACGTGCTGCGAAGCACCTCACAGCTTCCCCTGTACTTCTTATCATAGTTATTGCATTGCCTGGTTTCTGGGATGCCTTCCCCTTTGGACTGGAAACTCCTGGGGGTAGGGACCCAAGTCATCTTTTCTCTATTACTTGGCATACAGTAAGTAGGTGCTCAATAAATGATGAGTGACCAGCTATAAAATCAGGCTACAGGGCTGGTTGATGTGCTTCAGACTGACCAGCAGGGGACGCATTAGCCACAGCCCAAAAAACTTCCCCAGTGGCTAAGATCCTTTAGCCACTGAGCTGAAGAAGGAAATCCACAGCCTAGACAGGAGGGTCAAGTCCCTGCCTGACCAATTCAGCAGCATCTTGGCAGCTATTTTGCACTGATGGGATTCCTGCTGCATTTTAGAAGCTTGTGGTTCAGTTTGGAGTCATTTAGGGGTGGGTTTGAATCCTGATACCACCCGAGTGGCTGTGGCCAGGTTATTTCACTGTGTGTCCTATGTCCTCCGTAAAGGACACGATAACACGGTCCACAACTCAGAGTAGCAGTGAAGACTAAGTGACACTAAAGGGCTGGGCCTAGCATATCACCACTGAAAGATGTCACTATTGTCACTCTTCTCTACTGTCTGCATGGCTCAGAGGCGAAATCGTGAGTGACTCCCCCACCCCCTTAAGGAGCATTGGATTTAGAATCTGAACAAATCCCAGCATGGTATCACCTTAGACAAGTGGCCAATGTCTCTAATGCTCAATTTCTCATCATAAACTGGAGGTGGTAGTATTTTGGTCTTTCCTAATTCAGCAGGGTACCAGAGAGGATAAATGAGAGAGTGGACCTGAAAGGCTTTTGCAAATAACCCCAGACACTACCTATGGCTTTACTGTTTATATTCTACATTAAAACATACTCTCTTTGGGCCAGGGATTTAGCTCAGTGGCACCACGTCTGCCTGCCAAGCACAAGGTCCTGAGTTGGATTCCCGGTTCCGGAAAAGAAAACAAATCCTGTCTTTACACTGTACGTGCTAAGCAAGTATAAACCTGCATCATCGCTATGAGAAGAGTAAGCATGAACTTTGAGCCTAGAGTCACCAAGCCTTGAGTGTGTGCACATGTGTGTGTACTGAGGGCCGATTGTGAAGATCATGGAGCCTGCCTCTGAGAAGCTAACCTGGCACAGCGAATCGGGGAGAGATGGGCTTGGAGTGGTCACATTTCAGCCCTGGGAGGCACAGCCTGAGCCTGAGCCCAGCAGGGAGGATTCTAAAGGAGATGGCACAGGGTCAGGGCCCGCATGTAAGGTCCTGAGACCACAGATAAAGGGTGAGAGGGCAGTGCGGGCTGAAGAAGGGCAGGGAGGGAAGGGAGAGGCCCAGAGCCCACTTACCTCACTGCGGGTGAGCAGCAGGGGGAGGCTGCCGAAGGGCCTCAGGGCCAGGTGCAGGTACTCCAGCGTGGCGGCTGCAGGGAGAGGGGCCAGGGACGGGATCTCACTTTCCGCAGACTTCGGGAGGCCTCGAGGACAAGCTAACTGGGGCATTACTTGTTTTTCTAGGGGCCCTCTGAAGAAATTATTGGATTCCCTTAAGCCAGCAGCAAATGCTGGGGTGCCTGGTCAGGTGGGAAGCAGATCCGCGAGCACTGAGTTACTATAGTAAGATTAAAGGACTCTTCAATAAATCTGAGCAGATTGGAGGTATCATCGAAAGTCCTGCTCCTCTTCCACTGTGCTCTCTCAGGAAGGACCAAGTTCGGAGCAGCACCTTGCCCTGGGCCGCACACTGTGTTCTTTAAGAACTACTGATGCTTTCCTCCCATCCCCTCCTGTGGTCACCGGGGCTGTGGCCGGGGCTGATATTTTTCTTTTCTAGTTTCAAAGCTCCAGGTGCAGTTAATGTGCAGTTGAGGCAGAGAAAGGCTGAGCTGTAGTCAGCACGCCGGGAACTGGGAACGTATGCTTCATCCCTGCGGACACTGTCCCCGTGGCTGGGGGCCAGGTGGGTCCGTCACTGCACAGTGACAATTCTGTCCAGAGAGGTCCGGGGAACAAGTGTACAGACCTTGTTTGCAATGGCCAGACCCCAGTGTGTTGAAAACACAGCGGGTATGCTCAGAGGTATGCCAGGAACACAGCCACCAAGGGCCACCTGTCCCCTACATGGGTCATGCCAGATGCCTACTCTGTCTCCAGCTGGAGGGAGGCTGGGGCGGGGGTGAGACTAGAGGACTGCAGCAGGGGCACAGTGGTGGCACGGGGGCCAGATGCTGACCTTCAGGGTGAGGAGGGTCATCTGGGGTTACAATGGAGCCTGCGTGTGGCCCAAAGCAGCCCTGACTTCAGGATGACCTTGGGGGACAGGGCAGCCCCAGGGCCCCTTCTCCTCTCCCCTGGTGTGACACCTGCCAGCACAGGACAGGGAGCCAGCTGCTGCCTCTCCCACTTTCTCACTGTGGCCTTGCAGGCAGGTCACTCACATCTCCGAGTCTGCACAACAGGCCAGTCATGTCGGCCTTGCAAATGGAAAAGGGCTTCAACAAGGGCCAAAACTGTGGGGGTGGGGGGCGGTGCCTGTGGTGCTAAGTTTTCAGGCACGCGCTCCTTCAAGTGCAGGGTAGGGCCGGGCAATGCTGAGCCCTGCAGCCTCATTGGCCTGATGCTAGTTCTGGCCCAGGGTTTCACATAAGATGAAGCTTGCCTGTGTATATATAGTACCTCGTACGCGGTGGGCTCTAATACACACCTGCCTCTCCTTACCTGTCAGGTAAACCCATGAAGTAGGTACCTGGACCCAGGGCTGGCTGTATCCCAGCTTCTCAAACTGCAAGGGAATATGGTCTGAGATGAGAACAGGTTGCTCAGGGGCTGGCGTGGAAAGACCACCTGCTTTCTGTAACCTGCCCTGGCCGAGGACCCCCCACTGGCCCACAGGAGCAGAGCCTGAAGCCAGCCCCACGTCCCCACCAGTCTCGAAATTTACTCCTTGTTCTGGACAACTTGAGTAGGAACTGAGTGTGTGGGTGGTTTTTAACCCAGGACCATTCACATCATTTGATTATTATTTATATCTTCCCACACCTAAAGACACTCTCGGGCACTTAAGTCGTGTCTGATTTTTCTAGAATGGACTTTTCTATTAAAGGGAAACATTAGTAAGTGTGAGAAGGTGGTAGGAGATGCATGAAGGGACAGGCTTGCGAGGGATGAACTGAGCTCCTCACTGGCGTAAAACTTCTCCAGGTCGTAAAGGCAGATCATAGCAAGGGTTGGCAGGATGAGGAGAAAAGGGAGCCTGTTACACTGCGCGGACATGCAAAATACTGCAGCTCCTGTAGACAAGAGTTTGGTAGTTCCTCTAAAAATGGTTAGAGTTACCTGCAACCCAGCAACCCTCCAAGGTATATATCTAAGAGAACTGAAAACATGGGTCCACAGAAATGTACAGTGTTCACAGCAGCCCCAAAGTGCAGAACCCATACTTCCATCAACTGACGAATAGATAAAACAGTAGGTGATATAGCCATAGAATGGAATATTTTTGGCAATAAAATGGAATGAAATTTAAAACACAGCATGATACACGCCACAACACAGATCAAACTTGAAAACTAAGGCAAAGAAGCAAACCCACAAGGTCATACATTGCATGTTTCCATTTACAGGAAATGTCCAGACTAAGGAAATCTACAGACAGAAAGCTTTGTCCTTGCTTCGGGGTGGGTTACTGACTGCTGATAGATACAGGTTTGTTTTGTTTATCTGAGGATGATGACTTGATTTAAAATTAATGACGGTAATCGTTCGACAACTCTGAATAAACTGAAAATCACCGACTTGTATGCTTAAAATTGGTGAATTGCATGGTTTGTGAGTTACATCTCCATAAACTCGTGATTTAAACGAAACAAACCCAAACCTCTGGAGGTTACCAGAGCCAGAGACAAGAATCTCTTGCTGGCTACATCAGGCTGGCTCAGCCCATTTGGAAGGCGACTTTGAGGAGGGAATGTGTGAGCTGGGGGAGGTGGCCTCCAGCCTGGGATTTCTGCTCTACCCCTTCTGCGCAGACCTGGGCCCTGCAGGAGTCTGTGGGCTACTAAGGGAGGAAGCCAGAGTTCTCCCAGAGCTCTCCCAGGAGCCCAGGCCTGAACACCTTCCTCTGTGCTTTGGGCACTTTCTTCAGACCTCTTTCAGGGCCTCCACACCCAGGCTGGTGGATCACAAGCAAAAGCCCACAGGCAGGCTGGGGATGAAGCTCAAGGGCAGAGCACTTGCTTAGCATCCCTTGTTTAGCATATGCAAGTCCTTGGGCTCCATCCCTAGCAGGGCAAATAAACGGACAAAACAACAAAAGGCCCAGAGGGCCAGAAGCCAGTAGAGATCGGGAAGCAGGCAGTTCCAAGGTGAGGGCTCGGACTGTTCTGGAAGCAGGGAAGGTGAGGGGACCGAAGACGGGACTCCAGATTCTCCCTGTGAGAGGGGCTGGTGTCCCCACACCTACCAGTGGGGCCATCCACTCGAAGAGGTTGACACTGTCCCCGTCGTTGATGTAGTACGCCTGGCCACTCTGCGGGGGACACGAGGGAAGAAGGACCGTGAGGTGACTGCCCGCCGGCCTGGCCCCCCCCTCTGATGGCTCCAACCCCTCATCCTCTTGAGCAGCCCCAGGCCCAGGGACAGGGACAGGCCGCTGTACATTCTGGGGCCACCAAACTGACAAGCGTTGTGACCCACAGGAAGTCACGCAAGCTTTCTGTACCCCAGTTTCTTCATTGTGCGTGTGTGTGCGTGTGTGTGTGTGCGTGCGCTTAGTATTTGGTGGCTGTTATTTGCCAGCACACCAACCTAGCACTGCGAAGAGCTGATGATGCTTTATAAAAGCCTCCACCCTTACCCCAGGGCCCTGAGGTATCAATCCTGCCAGCTTCTGAAAGGAGAAAACAAGAGTCGTGGGGCTGGGACCCCCGGAGACGGGGCTACCGGCCTGCAGCGGTGTGAGGAGGAGGTGGGAGACTCACGGCCACGTAGCCCTTGGCTGCGGTGAGGGCCTCGGCCGCCAACACGTGTGCCTGCACCAGATTGCGCACGTGGACCCAGTTCATCCTTGCCCTCCGGTCCCCAAATCGGAACACGAACAGCCTCTTCTTGACATAGCTCTGGTGAAAGGAGAAGGGCAGCAAATGCAGATGGACGCCGGGATGGCTTTACACTCCTCTGTAGGCTCGCGCCTCTTGAGTCTGGCTCCAGGCTAGAGCTTTGCCTCCAGCTGGCGTATCTGGCGCCCTCCCGCCATCTCTACTGGGTCGTCTAACAACCTCAGAGCCACCACCCCTGCTCCCACTCCACACACAACTCACCTGCAAATGCACTTGGCCCAACTGTTAACATCTGTCCAGAATCCCGCCACCTCCCGCCCCGCTGACGGCCACCCCTCTCTCTTGCCTGGACACGTGGTGCCATCCTGACTGCTGCTCCCCATCTGTCCACCCTCAGCCCCTGCTGTCTGAGCTCTGCACAGCCAAGGGGATACTTCAATCCTAAGTCAGAGACCGGCTAGGGACATTCCAGGGGTCCCCACCCTGCCACCTTGAGAGCTGAAGCGCTGACAATGGCCAGGATGCCCTCCTGGTCAGGCGCCTGCTGCTCTGTGACTTTGTCTCCTACCGATGCCCTGCATGTGCTCACTCTGTCACAGCCACTCAGCCACCTTCCTCATCTGCCAGCGCACCTTGTAATTCCACATGTCTGTTGTCTATTATCGATCACCTCAGGTGAGAACAGAAGCCCCGCACGGCAGGAATCACCTGCTGGTCCACTGACCTGTTCTAAAACCCAGAACAGGGCTGGGGATTTAGTTCAGTGGCAAGCACAAGGTCCTGAGTTTGACCCCCAGTACCAAAAAAAACACCCCAGAACAGTCCTGAGCACATAAAAGAGTTCAATAAATATCTGCCTCATGAAAAAATGGGGGGCAGTCATTGAGGTTGACTCCCCACCTTCCCTGAGAGCTTGGCCAACTTTATTTATTTATTTATTTTGGTACCGGTGATCGAACTCAGGTCCTTGCGCTCGCGCAGCAGGCAGCGAAACCACTGAGCTAAATCCCCGGCCCTTGGCCAACTTTAAAAATAAAAAAATAGACATAAGGGCCAGAGATGTAGCTCAGCAGCACAGCACCTGGCTGGCAAGCATGAGGTCCTGAGTTCTATACCCGGTACCAAAAAAAAAAAAAGACATAAAGGCCTCGTGGAGGAATATTCTTCTGTTTTTTTGGGTTTTTTTTCCTGGTACCGGGGATAGAACTCGGGTCCTTGCCCTTACGCAGCAGGTGGTAAAACCACTGAGCTAAATCCCCAGCCCTGGAGGAATATTCTTAAACTACAAACCAGAGGATCACTCCCCTGATAACTTTCCGTGGCTCCCTATGACCTTGTGCTTCCAGATCAGATTCAGCCACAGGGACCTCTTGCTGCTTCCTACGGTGACCAAGAACGTTCTCATTTCTAGGACTGTGCCCAAGCTGCCTCCTCTATGTGGCCGGCCATCTTCTCTCTGCCGCCCCAGTTCCCAGTGGATCCCTTCCACTTGTTGCAAACAGCATAGGTGCATCACCTCCTCAGGAAGCCCTCCATTCTTCCCTCTATACAGCCCTCACCACACTGGAGCGGAGACTGCGTTTTGTCTCCCTGACGGGATGTGGGAAATGTGAGGGCAGGGCCTAGAGACCCGTGTAGCTATGTTCCCAACACCCTGCTCTTTTTTAAGGAAGAAGTTTTCTGGAGACCCTTGAATGACAAGAGCCCCAGCCCTCAGGGAGCCCACACGGGAATGGAGGTGACGGATTCTCTCTGTCCCCTCATGGTGCAGGCCTGACTGGTCCACACCAAGAGCTCTGCTCCTGGTAGGCCTGAAGGGTCCATGGACTCCTGGGGGCAGGGATGGCTCCACGAACCAAGGGTCTCAGCCTCAGGAAACTGCCTACAGACCCATTCGGTCCCCATGGGCTGGCTCCTCCCCCTCAGGTCCCAGAAGGCTGGGACAACATACCGCAACTCGGGGCAGGTGCTTCTGCTCTTCGGGGCCGTAAATCCCTGGGGGCCGGAGGACACAGGTCCTAAGAGTCCCTCCTCCTAGGACACAAGGGGGGTGGTCAGGGGCCGGGAGAGGGCGCGTAGGCTGTCTGTACCTTCTGGCCCTTACTGGGTATGGAAAGGCCAGTGTAGGCCATGCTCTGCTGCTGGCATCCCACCTTCCAATGGGGAGCCCTTCTCTTGCTGCACAAGGTCCTGGGGGGCTGGCCATCAAGATGGCGCCCATGGGATGCTCACACCCAGGAGTGACTCTGAGCATCATTGACACCGGGACCCAAAATCCTAGGAGAGGATTTTCCCTAAGGAGACTAGTTGTCAGCTCCTGCCACCAGGTCCCTTGAGCGGCCCCAGCCCTGGTGGTCATATTTCTGGAAGTCTGTTTTCCCAAAGCTACGCCACATCCTTCTCATGTAAGTTCCCTTCTTTCAAGATATAAGCTGGGTGGGGGTGGGGGGGTCGGGTCAGGGATTTAGCTCAGTGGTTTCGCCTCGTGCTGCGCAAGAGCAAGGACCCGAGTTCGATCCCCGGTACCGAAAAAAAAAAGGATCTCGAGATGAGATTGTCCAGCAGGGCCTTAAATCCAGTGACAAGTGTCCTTATATAGACTCAGAAGAGACAGAGAAGAGGAGAGCCCCTGGGAAGATGAGGCAGGGAGTGCAGGTCTGCAGGCACAAGCCCAAGAACACCTGGGGCCAGAAGCTGGAAGAGATAAGGAAGATCTCCCCAGAACCTTCAGAGGAAAGCAGCCCTAAGGACATCTCAAGCTCCCAGGTGGAAAGAGACGAAATTTCTGTTGTTTTAAGCCACCACATATGTGGTAGCCACAGGACAATCGAAGACAGAGACAGAACACAACCACACTGGCTGCAACCAGGACTTGGGACCTTTCTTTTGGGTTCCTAGTTAGAGGGGCTGCCCCAGGGACCAGCCTGGGTCGCAGGGAGTAGAAGTCACCCCAGATGGCCAAGCTGAACTCCTGGAAGGCAGGTATCGTGTGAGTGCCTCTGTAAACAGCCTGCAGCTAAGTCTAAATTCTGGGTCTCTGGAGCATGGTGGAGGAGGATCAGGTTGCCGCTGACAGTGGCTGGTGGGGCACTGGGCCGCCACGTCACAGAGGGGCTGGACCCAGGGTATCCATGACTGTCCTGGCCATGGAAAGCTGAGGATGTTCATATAAATAATTCTAAGCCAGAAGATTAGGTGTCTAGCACGCAGCCTGTGGTCTGGCCTGGCTGGGGAGGTTCCAGGTAGAGAAGGAAGTTCAACTGCACAATGTCAAAACCCAGGGAAAACATAACGGGATGTTCCCACGGGGACCGGGGTCAAGGCCTGACTGGCCCAGGGTGATGGGGCGAGGGACACTTACAGGGAAACAGCCCATACTCAGGGACCTGCTCTTCCATACCTATGGCCGAGCACAGTGGTTGAGACCCAGGGTCTGGTGTTAGACTACCCTGGGGTTCAAATCCCAGCTCTGCCACCTAATAGCTATGTGACCTTGGGTTACATCAGTTACTCACTCACGGTTTTCTCACCTTCGAACTGGGGCTTATAATTTCAAGCATCCCTCACTCTCCAAATCCACTTGGCTCCCAAAGTTGGATAGTTTTTGTTTTTTGTTTTTTGTTTTGGTACCGGGGATCGAACTTGGGACCTTGTGCTTGCGAGGCAGGCGGCAGAACCACTGAGCTAAATCCCCACCCCTGGATAGTTTTGATAATAAAAGGAAAACCAGTTGTCTAATTCTTTTTACTTTCTGAATTTCAGAAAGCACGTACTGATAATTTAGATAGCAAGGAACTTATTTGGGTGCATTTGACTCCTGAGTTTAGAAGGTCAGGGATACCTAAGGTACCCCTCATGGGGATGCTATGACGAATGAAGTTCTGTATAAAATTAGCGTGCAAAATTGGGTCTGGAATGAAGTGGATTGTTCGTACTCTGTGATCACGTCTCTGTCATCACAAGGGATAAGCCAGGAAGGGAGTCGAGGCCAATCTTTCTGGAAAGCTTTTCAAGGTTAAGCTTTAAGCTCTCTCACTGTACAGCCCTTCCAAAGAGCTACCGCTTTGTCCATATTCACACTGTTCTACTCTTTCGTGTAGGGAGGACCCCTACAGTGGGGTCTACTCTCCTGAGACAGAAAAGAGGACTAGCCCTGGGTCAGCCTCAGTCTCTTCCTACCAGAGCATGAGCAACCTCAGGGCAGAGACCCAGCCTGCTCACCCCGGGCTGCCTCCCTGGTGGGAGAGAGACTTAGCAGGTGCTCAGTGTTTGGAACAATGCGTGGCTAAGGCCCTGGGGAGCTGTCCCTTAGGAGGAAGCTGGGCCTCAGACGCTTACTGGTTAAAAACTGCAGGCACCATATATTTGGGGGAGGGCAGTGGGCAGGGCAGGTTGCCGGCCGTGGCGGGCCTACTTACTCACGCACCTGGGAGAGGAGTCCCGTTAGCCATCAGGGTCAACTGGTCGGCGATGGCTTTGGTTCGGGAGTAGTGGTCCATGTGCTAGCAGAGGACAGGGAGAACAGAGCCACCAGCCCAGGGTCAGCAGTGTTGTGGACAACTGTGCCCTGTCGCAGCCTGGCCCAGGGCTACCCTCTCCCCTCAGGCCATGTGCATGCCTGCTGCAGTACAGCCAAGTCCTACACCCCACATCCTGCCTGGCCTCCGTGTGGAAGGACATGGAATCTCCGTCCAGAGCCACAGCAGAGGCCCCTGGGCGTGAAAGGCACGGTGACCTTGACTCAGGGACGCTCTGGCCAGCCCGCACTTGTCCTGTGAAGCTGCTGCTGACCTAGTGTCCCTGGGGTGTTTCCACACGGATTATCTCATTTCCTGCTCTCCCGAAACACCCCCCCCCGCCCCCCCCACCACCGCCAGGTGCTCTCATGCCCAGATGATGACCTGGAGCTGCAGAGAGGGGAAGTCACTTGCTCAGGGTCACCCAGCTCAAAAGCGCCAGGCTGGGGTTCAAGTCAGGTCTGTCTCCAGGCATGACAGGATGAAACAGAAGTAGGCTGGTGCTCCCCAGTTTTGGGGGTCTTTTCCTGCTGGGGCTCACCCTGAATTGTGAGACAGACCCTGGTCCTACCCACCCCTACGCTTTGATGGCCACGCCCATCCCTCCCGGAGCCGGTACCTTGTCCAGTGGGAAGTATGGCGCGGAGTCCTCATCACCCTGCTCTATGGGCTTCCCCCCGAATGCCACATTGACAGTGCTGGTGTAGACGAGCCTCGGAACCCGCCGGCGGACACAGACTGCAGCGACAGGTACACACAACAGCTTGCACACATGTGCACACACAGGCACACGCACAAAGGCTGAGCGCAAGCAGAAAGTCAGCCGAGAAGGTGCGAACCCATCTGTCTCTCTCTGGTCTTCAACACCCAGCCCAGCCCCTCAGGAGGCGCTGGAATCCAGCTCCGGGGGAGGGAATGCTCTCCCTAACCTGGGGTGTGGGTTGAGTCCCTGAGCTGTGGAGCCCTGGGGACCAGGCCTGCTTATTCTCCCTTCCCAGTGTGGCTCTGATCTCTGAGCTGCCCTGCCAGGCACAGGTCAGAAGAAAGTCTCACTCAGTGGGGACATAGAAAACAGGCAATCTGGAGTCCGAGAGAAACAGTGCAGGACAAGGCAGGTCCGCACACGGGGGTGCAGGCCCGGCCAGGGCAGGAGAGGGACAGAAGGAAGAAGCACACACAACCAGTCACCCTCAGGTCACGCGAGCACCTACCATCGATCACTAGCTTGGTGCCTCCAACATTTATAGACTCAATCTGTTCTTTTTGCAGCTAAAAGACAAATGGGGGTAGGAAGCCATGATGCTGTCTCTTGCCTGTCACTGGCCTCAGAGGCTGGGCGTAGGCTCGGGCAGGCAGGGTGGCAGAATGTCCAGCTCAGAGGCAGGTGCCGGGAGGCCTGCTGCAGTGAGGGTTCCCAGCTCTGCCGCGCCTGGCCCTCAGCTGCCTTTGGCACAGGGAGGCCTGAGCCCTGGGTGGTCGGCAGGATTCAATGAGACGCCTGGGCACTCAGAAAGGGGCTTGGCACACAAATGAGACCCAACACTGGTTGAATCATTTTCCTGCTTTCAAAGTCTGATTTCTTCATCTTGTAAAACGGACACAGCGAAACTGTGAAGGCTGCTCTGGTGAGGGGACTTGGGTGTAAAAACCAGAGCGACTGCTCTACTGTGATGTGCCCACGGGCCAAGGGGAGCGTGAGGGCGTGCCGACCCCGTCTCAGTCAATCCTTCCAACACCACTGGGAGACGGCTGCTTAGTTATTTACTCAGTACTGGGGACTGGACTCAGGGTCTCCCACTGAACTACATCCCCAGCCCCTTTTCATTTTTTATTCTGAGACAGGGTCTTGTTAAGTCACTAAGTTGCCCATGCTGGCTCAAATTTGAAATCTTCCTGCTTCAGCCTCCCAAGGTGCTGGGATCACAGGCGTGTGCAGCCATGCCTGGCTTTTACGTTTATTTTTTAAACTATATTTATTCTCATTGTAGTGCTTTTTATTTAATAGGTAATATGGCGACAGGTTAAAAATAATTCAAACAATAAAATTTATCCGGTGAAGAGGAAGTTTCCCTCCCACTCCTGATTCCGTCTTCCTTTCCCTCCACAGAGGCAACCACTGTTACCAGTGTGTTTTCAGAGATGATGTAGGCTTGTTACGGCAGCACATGGCTGTGAGTGTAGCTCAGGGGTTGACCGCATCCTTAGAATGTGTGAGGTCCTGAGTTCCACCCCCAGCAACCAAAAAGAAAGAAAAACCAATCAGCACACAGGCCCCTGTGAGTACAGTACACAGGTAATCATGCCCTCCCTTTTTCTTAAAACAAAACTAAAAACAAAACAGAAGGACACCAAACACTGTCTTGTACCCTGATGATTGCGGTTATCAACACGTATTGATTCATCTCACAATTTATTTAAATAGTTCCCAAATGATAGACATTTATGTTATTTTTAGTGTTTTGTTATTAAGAAGTAATGTCATAAATATATAAATCAGTGCAATTTCTTTTTTTTTTAATTTTTTTTTTTGGTACCGGGGATCAAACTCAGGACCTTGCACTTGTGAGGCAGGTGGTGGAACCACTGAGCTAAATCCCCAGCCCAGCAATTTCTTTTCTTTCTAAAAGCAGTTACTGAAGATTGAACCTAGGACTTTGGACTGTGTTATAGCTCCAGCCCATTTTTTCATTTTTAAATTTTGCGACAGGCTAAATTACCCAAGCCAGGGTCTAACTTTGATCCGCCTCAGCCTCCCACAGTGCTGGGATTAAAATCCTGCACCACTACACCCAGCTGATCTGTGTAATTTCCGAGTCGAAGATGTATGTACGTTTTGATATGAGATGGTCACGCTGCTCTGTGGAAAGTCTGTGACATGCATAGTCCTGCCTTCACTTTTCCAGTGAGGAAGGAGAGGCTCTGAGTGGGTAACCTGCCCTGGGTTATAACAGAAAGTGGCAGAAGTGCTGTTTGGTGTCTTGGTGTGGACTGCAGGCTAGGAGGAGCCCAAGTCCTCCCTGGAGGAGGAGAAGAGCAACAAGGAACACACTGCATGGCACGATGGGCAGAACCACTCAACTCCCCCCGAGACCCGCCACAGCCCCACCTTCTCAGCACCGGACATCCCACAGGAGGCCGCATGGAAGACGCAGTCCACCCCTTCCAAGGCCCGGTACAGAGCTTCCTCATCTCGGACGTCAGCCTGAAACAGAAGAAGCGGGGTGAGGGTCAGGTTCCAAGCAAAGTGAGACAGTGACGCCCCGTGTCCCAGCCCGGAGGTGGCCCCCCGGGCCGACTCCGCCCAGCATGTGAAGGCCCAGAAAGACCAGCGGGTGTCACTGTCTGCACTCCAGGCCCGGGACTGGGCTAGGTGTTTCCCGCGCACAAGGTGAGGAACTCTCCATGAGACCCGCGGACAGCAGGTGCTGTCACTGTCCCTTCCTGTGCGTGGGGACACCGAGGCCCAGGGACATAGGGCTGTGACTGCGGCTGCCCAGGAGGGACGAACAGATGTCGCTCCACAGCCTGTGACCCTAAACTCCACCACTGGCTTCACACTGACCCTGCCCACCCCGCGGCCCCTGCACCTGGGTGAACTCAGTCCTCGGGGGCAGCTCCCACTGGGGTCTGCGGAGGTCGAGCAGGACGACAGAAGTGCCTCTCTCGGCCAGGCTGGAACCCAGGCTGAAGCCCAGATAGCCTCCTCCTCCGGTCACCAGAACCTTCCGCCTGGGGGCCTGTCCGGGCTTGGCTTGCGTCTTCTGCCCTGCTGCTGGTGCTGGGGTTGTCGATTCGTCGGGTTTGGGTCCAGACCCAGAGCCTCGCCTGGCCCCAGGCCCTGCTCCTGGCCCAGACACTGACCTAGACTCTGGCTCAGGTAACGGGGCAGCTCCTGGACTGGGTACCAACCCAGATCCTGGCCCCAAAACAGCACCAGGTCCTGGCCCAGACCCCAGAACCACACCGGGCCTGGGCCCCGGCCCTGACCTCAAGCCAGAGCCTGGACCTAAGACCCCTCCCCAGGCCTGGCAGACAGGGCAGCTCTTCTCGTCCTGGCCTGCAGCTCTGCAGGTCTCTGGGGAGGAGCCTGTGGGGCTGGGCTTCATCCTCTACAGAGCCATGCAGGCCACAAACTGTCCACCTGCGGGGAAAGACAGAAGAAAGACTGCTTTAGAGTTGGCTCAAGTCATAGAGATGATGAACCCCTGAGACTGAAGGGAATTCCAGGTGGAAACTGGAGACCCGCCAAGCTCCCAGTGGACTTGACCCTTTTGGAACCTCAAGAACCTCCGCTGTAAGCCAAGTGTGTGATCACAGGACTCTGGGAGGCTAAGGCAGGAGGATCACAAGGTTGAGACAGGGTTTTCCTAAATCACTAAATTGCCCAGGCTGGGCTCAAACTCACAATCTTCCTGTCTCACTTCCAAAATGCTGGTTTACAGGTGTGCAGGCCTGTACTGCGCCAGGCAGCAAGGAACCCCAAACCTCACTGCCCCTCAGTATCCACAGCTGTAATAGGGGTCTAGACTACGTCGGCTGCTCCGTCTACCTCACAAGTAGCCTGAAGAGATGCCAAAGAGCGTTGCCAACTAGAACGCAAGCCTCGCGCGGGGTTTGTTGTTTCGCGTCCTCAGCACCTAGCACAGTGCCTGGGTCGCCACAGCTGCTAAATGAACAAAATCTCTTGGATCTGCTCGGTGTCGCAGGGCTGACCCCGGACGGACGTGGCAGTCCCCAGGGTAGTACAAGCTACCGTTCAGTTCCCATCATCCAGAGGTGGAAACTGAGGCACAGGGAAGGTTAGGGAACGGTGCTGGGCGTTACAGTACATGGCTCAGCCCGATCCAGGTCCTCGGGACCCCAAAGCGGGTTTGGTGCGAGGACAGGGAGGGTCGGTGGCAGGGCGGGCCAGGTCCGGTGGGGGCGTCGTCCCGGCTCGCCCTTCTCCCCGCCCGCCCTGCCGGCCGCGTCTCCGCCGCGCTCACCTGGCCCGCGCTCCCGCGAAGCTGAAGCTGAGTGCTCCTCGCGCCGCCGCGGTCTCGGTCTCGGTGCCGCTTGGAGCCTCCGGGCCGCCCCAGCTCCGGCAGGACGGGGCGGGGCGCGGCGGGGCTGGGCGGGGCGCGGCGGGGACCGGGACCGCCCATCCTGCTCGCCCGCCCGAGGCCGTCACCGGGAGCCGCGGAGGCGCTGCGTGCCCCCCCCCCCCCAGGACCCAGGAAACGCGTTTCTTCCTCCACCCACCCACCATGCATCCTCCCCGCCGGCCGGCCGTCCCTCTGTTCAGCCGGCCTCCCTTCCTCTTCCTCGCCGCTTCCTTTTTCCTCTTCCCATCTAATCACTGTTCCACCTGTTCTTCCATCCACCTCTGTATGCATCCATTCCTCATCCACCCTCCACTCCGCTCTTACTAATCTTTTTGGCCATCCGCCCACCCCTCCATCCCGCATTCCCGTCTTTGCCGCTGTCACTTCAGACTTTCCCCCGTGCGTCCATCATCCTTTCTCCAGTCTGTTGTTCCACCTGGCCCTCCCCTCCCTCCTCCCTCATCCTTCCACCTGTCCAGCCAAACTTCCACTCATGCAGTTTGTTACATAACTTTTTCTTCCTTTCTCCCCTCCGTCTACGCTTCCTGTCCTGTATTCTTCTGCCCATCTCTGTTCATCCATTCATCATTCCATTGTTTCTCTTTTAATGGGTAGTTCTTTAGTGCTGGCCTTTCCCCTGAGCTGGGGACCCGATGTCCCACCATCCCCAGAAGGTTCATATTTGAGTGGCCGTAGCAGAGGGGCAGGCAGGACCCACCCGAGCAGCTGCTACCACAGAGCAGCAGAACCTGAGAACGGGGACCCAGTCACTTTGGCTTGAAGAGGGCGACTGAAAAATGGCCACTTGGTGAACGTGCTCTGTGGGCATAGGTGTGGGAAGATCCTCGCTTGCTTATGCTGTGTGCCAGATGGTCAGGTTTCTTTTCAATCCTCACCATTCTGTTTTAGCCCGATTTTAGAGACGGGGAACAGGAGCCAAAGAGGGGCTCAGAGTGTAGTGGGTACAAGGTCGTGCCTGGTTTTAAATCTTGGTTTTGCCACTTCCATCCTGTGTCTTTGGACAGCTACAAGGCTGTTTCTTCATCTATGAACTGGAAGTGGTGTCTACTTCACAGCATGGCGTTGCAAGTGTATGGTTTACCTGCCAAATGCAGGATACGGTGCCTGTCCTGTGGTGCTCAACCAGTGGCAGCAATGATCATTGTAAAGGAGACTAGGATTTGAACTCTGCTTCACCACTTCACAAGCCCGGGTCTCTGGCCCATCGCTCCATTCACAAAGACCCGCCTTTCCCTCTGCCACCAGCAGGACTGGAGGATTCATATTCCCCAGTTCCAGCTGCTGTTGTCGTCTTGCAAGGAGAAGCATCACTTACATCACAGCTGGCTCGGGTTGAATTGTGTCCCTCATAAAGTTCACACACTGAAGTCCCAACCCAAGTATTTCAGATGTCATCTTATTTAGAAATGGAGTCACTGCAGATGTAATCAGTTAAGATTAGCCATAGTGGAGTAGGGTGGGTTCCTCTTCCAGCATGACTGGTATCTTAGTAAAGGGGAAATTCAGGAACAGTCGTGCACACGGGGAGAGCATTATGCAAAGATCGGAGCCTATGCTGCCATCCATACAGGAACTGTTAGAAGCAAGAAGCCTGGAACAGATCCCTCCCTGTGCCTTCAGGAGGAGCATGGCTTTGCTGGCACCTTGATCTTGAACTTCAGCCTTCAGAACCGGGAGACAACACTTCTATTATTTCAGCCCTTTTGTCAGTGGTACTTTGCTATGGACAGCACCAGCACAACCATCACAGAACTGCAGGTGTACAAGATGACCCAGCTGAGATTCACTCTAGCACTGTGCTGGTCACTGCAGTCTCCCTGGGCATGGCACAGAGGCTGGCCAAGCAGAGCTCGTCCAGCCTTAGTAAACCGAGTGTTTTTAAACAATTTGATACATTTATACTTGCATATATTGATGTTAGTCCATGTTTGTTACCATAACAAAATACCTGAGACTGGGTAACTTTATGAAGGAGAAGTTTATTTTGGCTTAAAATGTTGGATGTGTGAGGTCAAAGGCCAGAGTCCCAAGGTGACACAGGGCATCACATGGAAAGAGACAGAGAGCACATGAGTGTCTCTTTTGGTCCCCCACTCTCCTTATAGAGTCCCTACGATTCAGCTATGCAGGTTCTACCCTGATGATGGCCTGATCTAGCCCTAATCCCCTCCTCAAGGCGAGGTTGGACTCATCTTCCACCCTCTTAATACCTCACAGTGGGGATCAAATCTCAGCACATCAGCCCTTGGTGGAAACAGCAATATTCCAATAGTACCACCCTGATGAAGATATACAACACTTCCAGCACCCCGGATGTAACCACTATTCAGACTTCTATCCCCAACAAATGGTTTTGTATTTTTGTTTTGTTTTTTTTGGTTTTGTGAGACAGGCTCTCACTATGTAGTTCAGATTGGCCCTGAACTCACTATGTAGCCCAGGCTGGCCTTAAACTCCTGGTGATCCTCCTACCTCAGCCTCCTGAGTGCTGGGATTACAGGTGGGCACCACCATGCCCGGCTGTCTGTTCTGACCTTCATATAGATGGAATTAAGCAGTATATACTGTTAGTGTCTAGTTTCCTTTGTCTGTGATTGTTCAAGAGATTGATGGATCTTATTGAATATAGCTACAGTTCAGCCTTTTTCCATTGATGTATAGTATACCACTGTAAAAGGCATTAAAACTCATTTGCCCATTCTACCATTGATGGATATTTAAGTAGTTTCCAATTTGGGGCTTTTATAAATAAAACTACTATAAACATTCTGTATTTAGCTTTTTTGTTTTGTTTGCTTGAATTTTTTTGGTGCTGGGATTGAATCACGGCCCTGCACATGGTAAATGCATATTCTACTTCCCATGCCCATTGTGTATGTCTTTTGCCAAACATATGCACTCATTTATTTTAGAGTGGGGTTGCTGGTTCATAGAGTAGGCATGTATTTTACTGTAGGGGAAATTGCCAAATAGTTTTCCAAAGTGGTTGAACCAATTTATACTCCTGACTCCTACCCTTCGTCTAGCACTATGTGAGCACTTCAGTTGCTCCATATCTTGATACTGTCAGTCTTTTTATGTTTAGCCATTTTAGTAGGTGTGCAGTGTGGTTTCAATTTGCATTTCTGTGATAGGTAAGGCTGTGGAGTACTTTTTCCTGAACCTACTGTCTACATGTTCTTGAGTCTTTTCTTCATTTTTAAAAATTGGGATATTTATATTTTCCTATTTGATTTGATGTTATTTACATATTCTGAATGACTCAATAAACCTTTGTCTCATTAAAAATTTATACATACATACAGCAATAATCACTTCACACAGTTAAAATTGGGCTGGGGATGCAGCTCAGCGTAGAGCACTTGCCTAGCATGTGTGAGGCCCTGGGTTCCACCCTTAGCACTGCCAAGAGCTGAGTAACAACAATCACCAAAAAACAAAGTAAAGGCTGGCGATTTAGCTCAGTGGCACCACGCCTGCCTCGAAAGTGCAAGGTCCAGAGTTTGATCCCTGGTACAGAAAAAAAAAAAAAAAAGATGGTATGGGGCCGGGGATTTAGCTCAGTGGTGCCACGCCTGCCTCACAAGTGCAAGGTGCTGAGTTTGATCCCCGGTACTGGAAAAAAAAAATAAGACAACAAAGTCACCTCGACCCTATTTATGGAAATAAAAGCAATTTTTGATTTAGAAAATGACAGCAGATGACATAACATATGCCATATTCATTTCATGTGCACACAGTGAAGCCTGATTTTCACAGAGCTGAGCAGAACATTCACTCTGGACTGGGTTGTTCTGGAGCAGCCTTCAGTTCAGTTTGGTCGAGCAGGCATGGGTGGGGTGGTGGACACTGCTGGCTTCTTCCTCCCCCACGTCTGGCTGCCCATGAATCTGCATTGGCCCGGAGGTGGAGGAACACAGGGAGCCTCAGGCAGAAGCAGCCTCACCTGTCTGGCTTCCAGAGTGGGACTCTACATTCTGCGGGGCGCTCACAGCTTCCCACATGTCTGCCACATGGCAGGTGCTGGGGACCCACAGATGAGGACTGTGGCCTCATCTGGGGGAGCCAAGGTGAAGGAGGAGAATTAGATAACCAAGCAAGTGCCAAGTGCAACTAGAGGCATCAGTCAGGCTGCCAGGAGAGGACGGCTGGAAGCTTCCGACTCTGCCTGGAGGTCTCGGCTCTGTGTGGACCCCAGGGACATCTTCACAGTGGAGCTGATGTCACCTGAGTGGAGAGTCCCCGGCAGAGGGTGGCAAAAAGGATGTCCCAGGCAGGGAGCTTGATGCAGGGCCGTGAGCAACAATCTTATTGCCGGAATGAATGTAGGATGTGCTGGAGAGCAGGCCAGGAGAGTAGGGTGGACCTACAGATGGCTCCACAGTCAAAGAACAGAGCCTTTCTTCCAGACTTCCAGTGTGTTCTGGTACCTGGAGTGGTCTTTCCTGTGGGCCACAGCTTCCTGTGTCCTCCTGCACCAGGGCCAAGATGAACTCAGTGAGTGGCTCTTTTGGGGATGGCCTGTTCTGTTTAGAGGAGTCATAATTTCTGATCCTTCCCCACAGTTACAACTGTCTTCAACGCAGAACATGCTGCCTGGCCCTTTGCAGGCATTCGGCAGGTGGGGAGCCCATCTCCTTGCCTTACCTGAAAGCATTTCTCTAACAAGGAGTAACCCGTGCTTCTGTGTTGCTTTTCTTCTGGAGCTGGGATCTGGTGGGAAGCAGAGGAAGGAAGATGGTTTCCTTGATGCCCACATTTCTGGGCCTGGGGAATGGGGAGAAGCAGGACAGAAGCTCCTGAAGGAGGGTACCCTGACCAGGGTGGGCTGGTCTTGATGGGGCCTAGGGTCCAGGTGGGCTGGAGCCCAGACAGGTGGCAGTGCTGCCCAAAGAACATACCTGAAGACCTGGGCTCGTGCAAGGAATCTCCTGGCCTTGGTGATCTCCTGGGATAATCTCCTCAAGTCATCTCCTTCGAACAGTGGCAGTGGGGGATCCTTGGAAAGGGGAGATGAGTATGAAGTTCGGTCCATTAGATGACCAAATGGGATCTGGAAACCCCAAATCTCAGAAGCTTGGAGGGAATCAAATGCAGCCTTCCATTGAGGGCAGGAAATCCTGTTGCCTCCATGTGCAGGTGTCTAGAGATGGGAAGCTTAGGTCCTATCTAGGCGGTCATTTTCCACATAGGACACTTTGAAATAAGATATCCAGGAGTCAATGTGGGCGGTGGCAGGGGCAAACCAGGTTGGTCTCTGAACTTCAGCGAAGCCAGCACCTCTCTGGGCTGATAGAGATGGTATATACCCCTTACCTCACTGCCAGTCAGTCTGTGAAATGTCTTTAGCCCTTGATTTCTCCTAGAACAGTAGAGGTCCACAGGCAGGCTTTTAAAAGTGTTACCTACTGAAATTCCAAAGCCTAGCTTCATTTTTTAACTTTTTGTGGTACTAGGGATCGAACCCAGGACCTTCACATCGAGCTACATCTCCAGCCTTTAAAAAAACAAATACTATTTAACATTTTGAGCCAGCTTCTGGCTAAGTGGCTAAATTGCACAGGCAGGGCTCAAACTTGCCGTCTCTCTGCCCCAGCCTCTCAGAGCTGGGATTATAGGTGTGCACCACCGTGCCCAGCTGAGCATAGCTTGCTTTCTTGTCTTTTCTTTTTCCTTCTTCCACTTTCTTTCCTTTCTCTTCTCTCCTCTTCCTCTCCTCTCCTCTCCTCTGTTCTCTTCTCATCTCTTCTCCTCTCTTCTCCTTTCCCTTCCCTCGCCCCTCCTCTCTCTTTCTTGACAGGGTCTTCCTATGTAGTTCAGGTTGGCCTTGAACTCACTATACAGCCCAGGCTGGCCTTGAACTCGCAATGATACTCCTGCCTCAGCCTCCTGAGTGCTGGGATTACAGGTGTGCACCACCACACCTGGTTATGAGCCTAGCTTGAAACACATACATTCTCAAAATTAAATTCTATGAAAGAGATGAAGCTATCCCTTCTCCCTGGGAGTAATATTCCCATTCTGCAGATAAAAAAACCATTCCCAGAAGCTGATTTGATAAGGTGTTAAACTGAGAAGCTACATAACATTGTCAATTATCTTCCTGTGTCATAAGGATACTTGAGTGAATTTTTGTTACTTTTATCAAATTGCTTTGCCCTCAGTATTACTTGTCACATTTGTTCCTAAAAGTCACATGAACAAAGGACTCATATTAGGGTACACAGACTTCAACAGTTTTGCTGTGGCCAGGTATTTAGTTCAGTGGTTCTGCCGCTGCCTGCCTTGAAAACTCAACGTCCGAGTTTAATTCCTGGTACCAAAAACAAAAAAGTTTTCCTGTGTCCTGTAGAAAGAATCCTAGACTTCTGACTGGTTGTCCTACTTGATCATGTGTTGCCTCAGAAATGTTATCAGTGACAACATCCATTCCTTAAAATGTTGAAATGTATGCATCATTTTTCTACCAAGCTGGAAGAGGATCACGACTCTGATCCTATGACTTCACAAGGTTTATTACTTAGGTAAGCTAGAACTTCACTGGATCTGCTGTTTAACAGATGATCTGAATATCTGTGTTGCAATTAACTGAACACCATAGGACAGATCCACAGGGATTAAAGCACAGAGATCATGACTATGGTGTCTGAGGCACCAGCTTCATCCCTCCCTCTGACTTGAGGCATATTTCTTAACCTTTCTGAGCCTAGTTGTACATGTAAGTGAGTACGTTAGTGCCCAGGAAGATTAAAAATCACGCCATCTATAAAGCAAAGTACTCACACGTAGTAAATGCTCAACAAATATAAACTGGTCTATTACTAATAACACCCCCAAACCTGCTTCCTTCCCACTGTGGAGAGGAGTCGGTGGTGAAGGAGAGGCTCAGAGTAGCACAACCCCCTTTTAGTAACATTTTAGCATTTTGTCTTACCAGAGAAACAGAGATCTCAGAAAGAAAGCCACACTTGTGAACATTTCTTGGCGAGAGCTGCACCCTCAGCACCTGGTGACCTACCTTTTCATGGACAAAGCCCCTGGTGAGCAGGCCTTGGATCCTGCAGTGCATGTCCTCCCCAACAGGGCAGTGGTACCGGCCGCCGGTGAGGGAAGCCAGCTTCTTCAGGAACTCAACTGCTGCTCTGGGGGAGGAGCACAGGCCTGGGCTTATGGAGGGTGGGGGAGGCAACCCAAGCCCCCGGGGCCCACTGGGAACTTAAATCAGTGGGACTAAGTGAAAGCAGCCTGGCCGAGGCCCTTGCTGCACCACTGGGACCATCGTCAGCATCACCAAGGACGCTTCCTGGCTAGGTTATGGGGATTCAGTTCCTGTCCCCATTTGGCCTGGGTCCCTTCAAACACATGGCCAGCACTCTCTGGCTCCCATTTCTTTATTGGACATCTCTCCCGTGCTACGTGGGCTAGGCCTGAGCTTGCAGGTTAGACAGAGAAAATGTGTACCTAAGTAATACTTTTGCTAATAATAAAGGGTTTTTTGTTTGGTTTGGTTTGGTTTGGTTTGGTTTTGGTGCTGGGGATCAAACCTAGAGCCTTTTTTTTTTTGGTACCAGAGATTGAACTCGGGTCCTTGCGCTTGCACAGCAGGTGGCGAAACCACTGAGCTAAATCCCCACCCCTCTGGAGCCTTTTACATGCTAACATATTCTCTACCACGAAGCTACATCCTCAGACCATGAAGTTGTGTTGTTTTTTTTTTCTGAAGGAGCTGAGTCTTATCTCAAACACATTCTTCTACAGTGATTGTTGGTGAAAATAATGATACTACATTAATGTATGTTTTCCTCTCTAGATATCCACAAGTGTGAATATCCACATTTTCTTCCTAAATGTTCACAAATGTGTTCCCAAGAAAGGTCAGGAGGGAGAAGGTGACATGACTGGGTGAGTCACAGAGGAGAGGGCCGCTGATGGGCGAGTCTGGGTGGAAAGAGGGCTTCCGGTCGGTGGTGTAACATCTACCCAGACTTCTGAAAAACCAATGCAGCTCCCATTTCTTGACTTAGAGAACAAGGGCCTAGGAGAGGCCAGGCCCAAGGAGGGTAAGAAGCCCAGATCCCCCCTCACACCAGGGAGAAGACGCAAGCTCAGCCTGACCCCTCATGGCCCACCTGTCTGTGCAGCTCAGGGAGACAGTGTGCACCTTCACGTCCCTGTCCTCCTCGAGTCTTTGGACTGCATCCAGAACAAGGCTGCAGCTTGTGTCTGGCTTCCCGTCCGTCAGCAGGTATAATCCTTGCACATCATGAAAACTGAAAGCTTTCTGAGAGAGCACAGGGATGTTGTCACCCTTGGGGGACAGGGTTCACCAGGAAGGGCAGAAACCAATTGCCTGTCAGTGGTCCCTGATGTCTCCGAGGAAAATGTGTCTGATTGGGTGCTACCGTCTTATCCATTATGACTGAGACTCTCGTTTCAGCCTAAGACAGATCAAGGAAGTTGCTGAGGGTTAGGGGTAAAGGCATGGCCCACCGCCTAGCTAGTTATCCCCAAGTAAGACACTTAACCTCTCTGAGCCTCTGTCTTCATTTTAAGGCGAGAACAAGAATCCTTTCTCACTGGGTTGTTAGGAAGATGAGAAACATTCTATAAATCATGCAATATTCATATGGGGGAGGGTGGTGTTTTTTCTGTACTTCGGGGTCAGGTTCAATGGCAGCACTTGCCGATAATGCTTGCAAGATTGAGGTGCTCCCCTGGGCCTGCAGGTGGGTCACCCATTGCGTGGCTTCGCGACATGCTGCATCCGTGGTCTCCACCAGAGTGTCCTGCCATGGCTGGAGCCCCTCTGAAAAGCTGAGCACGTTAAAACTGGGGAGGGGGACAGAGAGATTCGTTAGAACAGATTGTGTTGAATTCTGCTGAAGTTACCTCCATGAGGCTGTGGGACAGTTCACGGAAGACCCCTGACTTGAGTGGCCCTTGTAGAGGGCTGTGAATCCCCTGAGATAGAAACAGAGTTAACTCTCAGCTCAGCCACTGATTGTGTGATCTTGGGCAAGTTATTTCACCTCTCTAAGAATTGATAAGATTGTGTATGTAAAGTGCCTGTCACACAGGAAGTGTTCAATGAATGTTTACTCCTAGTAACAAGTTCCAGCCTAGAACCAGTATTTTCTGTTCTCCTCTTTCTGAGTAGAAAGGACTACTTCCTATACTCTAAAAAATCAGGTTCAGACCAGGTGCGGGGGGGTGCACACCTGTAATCCCAGCATTCTGGAAGGCTGAGGCAGGAGGGGTCTCAAGTCTGAGCCCAGCCTGGGAAATTTAGCAATTTGTGTGAGAACATGTCTCAGAATAAAAAATTTTAAAAGGCTGGACATGTAGCTCAGTGCAAAGGCCCTGGGTTCAATCCCTAGTATCACACACACACAGACACATACACACACACCCCCCCACACACAAAATCAGTTTCAAGGGCTGGGTGTACAGGTCAGTTGTAGGGCATGTTCCTAGCATGAGAGAGGCCCTGGGTTTGATCTCCAGAGCTAGTAAAAAAAAGTTCATCTGAAAACTACAATTCAAGGCCACATGGTGGTACCTTTGCTGTGCTTAATACTGTCTCTGGGATGAGATGGAATTCTAAAAACATTTATGTTCCTTGTGCATCATAGCAGCATACAGTGGTCCTTCCTGTGCAGTGTTGATCAGAAGAGCATTTTAGAGACTTCCGGGCCAGAACTGTGAGGGGGAAGTGTGTTTGGCTGCCCCTGACGGCACCCTCCCCATGTCCTACCTGTCACAGCGCTTCCGCAGCTGCTCCCAGATCAGCAGAATCATCTCTGTCTTCACCTGCTGCAAGTATGGGCCCACAGACCCTGACGTGTCCAGCAGGATGCACACTTTGCTCTCCAAGACAGCACCGAAGAGTCGGCGGCTCCCTGTTCCAAGTGGGACAGAGGCGGGGTCCTTCCTCTATTCCACTGGGACAGCGGAAGTGACAAACTGCTGCAAAATAGACCAGCTGCTCTCCAGGACGGACTGCACTGGCCAGACCCACTGCCCAAGTGTCTCCCAGGACTCGTCCTGGTGATTTCTGGCGGTGCTTATGACAAAGGGAAGTAAGAGGTGAGCCAGCCGGAAGCAGGTGGGGAGCTCTAGGAAGATTTCCACTACCTGGTCAGCAGACAGTAGACAGTGCAAGCTCTGCTGTTTTTAGCCACCTGAATCTAACTCTGCCTTCTTCATCCATCTCCACATCTCCATTACTATTACCCTTTCCCAGATATCTTTTTTTTTTCCAGTACTGAGGATCAAACTCAATGCATTTACACTGAGCCATATTCTCAGACCTATAAATTAAAAAAAAAATTTGGGACAGTGTCTTGTTAAATTGCTAAGTTGCCCAAGCTGAGCTTGAGTGTGTGATTCTCCTGCCTCAGCCTCCCTGAGCACTGGGATTACAGGTGTTGTGCCACCATGCCCGGCTTCCCAGCTATTTTGTCCTCCCATCTGGGACACAGCTCAGTCTCCCCCATCTCACTTCAACTTCCTGAGGATTTATTTTCCAAGTAGCAGCCACAAAGATTTTTGCAATCACTGACTTGATTACTTTCCTCTTATTTAAAATCTTTTAATGGTTTCCATCGCTCTTAACAAATAACAAAGTCTGTTCCCTGGCTGCATCTGTCAGACGGCTTCCCCGGGCCACACTGGCTGCCTTCCTTTCTGTCTCTGTACTCAGCGTCCTGCCTCCTGCTCAGCAGCCCCAGCCAAGCCACTCCCTTCGCTCTTGCCCGTTAGCACCTGTGCAGTCTTCAGACCTCAGCTCCAATATCAGCTCCTCTGAGAAGCCTTCTTTGGCTCTCCTGTCCCGGCCAGTGGCTCTCTGTTGCCATGTTCCTGCTCACCCCACACTCGTCACACTTGTGATATTAGACTTGTTTGTGATTCTTTGCTTTACATCTGTCTCCTCCTAGAGCATATTCTCCCTGAGCTCAGTGAGCATGGCGGGTTTTGGCTTCCACCCGGCCCTAGCACCTAACAGGACAGAGAGACTTATTTGTTGAGAACAAGGTAGAGAGAGAGCGAGAGAGAGAGAGCACAACCCCCTACATACGCTTAGAAGTATTAGTGTTCAGGTGTATACCTGTGTGTGAGCTGGCGGGCTCCACTACAAAAGAAGTATCTGAAGCATCTGTCTGCTCTTCATACGCATCCTTGTGGTTAGTGTGACCTGGGAGTGGAGGGAGCCTCCCTCCCTCCCTCTTTGCTCTACCTCAGCGTCTAACCTGACAGTGGCCCCTGGAGTCTATGTCCCACCTGGCACCTTTGGAAAACAGCAGCTACTGACACACCCTGTGCCCAGGGACTGTTTATAACAGGAACTGCTTTGTCACTGAGGACAGAGCGAGTGAGTTTGCCCTGGAACTTGTGTGGCCCACACAAGCTGCCTGCAGGATCTCTATGTGATTCCCTCCTTCTTCCTCCTAACGTTCCTGGGACCTCCAGGCCCCCAAGCGTACATTGTCTTGGCCATGATGCCCCAGATGGCCTCTTCATCTCCAGCCCACCCTCCCCTAGGACGGCACCCTGGCTCTCCTCAGCCGCCCTCCCTCTCTGGTAATAAGAACAGAGGCTTTTCTTGGTCAGGATCCCTCCCATCTCTCCTTCAATGGCTGAGTTTTGGGGTCCCTGTGTGGGGAGTGCCTCAGCCATGTGCAGGAAGGCAAGGGGTGCAGATGGCCTCGCAGGGCAGCCTGGACGGGCGTGAGTTCTCTCTGGGTGCTGTGGCCGTACTCCACCTTCTACCACCTTGCACCTTGCTTGACCTCTGAATCCCAAACTCGGGTTGCTCGTACAGGACGCTCCTGGCTTAAGCCCCTGACCCGACCGTGCTGCAGGACCTGACCTCGGAAGGACTGACCCTGGGGTCCCTGGGCAAGCCTTCCACGGCCCCTCACACTCCCGCCCTGGGGACAGCAGGCAGGCTCACCAGACAGCAGCCACTGCAGCCTCTGGGTGTAGCACCTCATCACCTTCTCCAGGCACACGATGTATGCGTCCATTTCCCCGAGTGTCCACTGAATGTGTCTCACCACTCCCTGGGCCAAGGCAAGCGCAGGCAAATGGCTGCTCCCGGTCAGTTATTTCACATTTTCATCCCCCCAAATAGTCTGTCCCATTATGAGCAATATCTGTTAAACATACATTGTTGTTTACTTAAAAGCTTTTTTCCCTGTTATTAAACTACCAAATTTACAGTTCTATGAAGGAGTAGGGAAATTCGCATGATCGTTTCGTGGCAAGCGTGGTCACTGTAATTAACAAAAACCACAATATCTCCCAAGTTTTAGAATAGAAAACCCTTAATGGTGGGGTTGGAGATTCATAAATTTCAAACTGAAGGATTACCTTGGATAGAGGTGGGCAGCACGCTAAAAATGACCGAAGTTCTTTTAATGGATCATTTTGAATTTTGTAGCTATTTTTAGTTCCCTCTAATGTTGATAATGTGATATAAAGGGGCAAAGAGACATGATTTTTTTTTTTCAGTACCAGGAATTTAACTCAGAACCTTTTGCTTGCCAGGCAGGCGCAGTGCCACTGAGCTACATCCCTGGCCCAAGAGAGAAATGATTTGATTTTTATTTTTTACTAAATTTACCTGTTCCAGCATCAAAACAATGAAAATAACACTACCCCCAAACTAGAAAATAGAGAAAGGAGCCCCTTTCCTCCTGTCATAACTCCCATTTGCCACCATCCTAACAGAACCATCACTGGGCTGCGGGTATCTAGCGATTTTAGAGGAGCACCTCAGCCCTATGCACTGGGCGCTTGTTCTGATTCTCTCTGCCGTGAGCCTATCTAACCCTGAAGTGATTTCAGGCCCTCTGAGGGCTCGAACTTGGCTTCCAACAGGACTCTATATCTCCTCTTGGCCGAGGGAAGCCACACTGTGGGGCTGGGCCTCTTAGAGCAAGAATAGAAGCTAAGATCCCAGACTCTGCTTCCTGCCATTGGCAGCTGACAAGAGGCAAGGGCCTGGGGGCGGAAAACAAGAACGCTGACAGACTTACTTTGATCTCCGTGCTGGGGAAGACATCGCAGTGTCTGGCCGAGCTCTGCGCTGACTTTGGATGCGTGCAGTTGGGACCCAGGCATCTGGATATCTCCAGCCTCAGCCTTTTCAACCCGTAATTAGCTACCCACTTTAGAATAAAGAAAAGAACTATTACCGAGGCCATTCAGGCTTAACTAAGTGACTGTCTGGCTCATCCGTTAAAACCTCACGTGTGCAGTGTGAGGTCCCTGGCTCCTCGCTGAGCGTTCTCCACGAGCAGATTCTTTCCCCAGCGCCGGGGGAGAGATGCGCGAGCAGCGGGGAACGGGCAGTAAACGTATCCAGTGCTTTCTAGTCCCTTGTTTAGTGAAACATTATTGCTTCCCCAACATCCATTTTAAACTTCCGCCACAAAATTAGGGTGGAAAACCCCACCGGGTCTGAAGTTCGGACTAAAACAATGAGGATACTTTCAGTGTCGGGCTCAGGGCAACCAGAGCAGAGCACCCAGAGCAGAGCACCCAGAGCGGCCCAGTCAGAGCCAAGCTCGGAGTTTTATTGAATGGTTGTAGGAGAAAGATGGTCTGAACAAGAAGGGGACTTCTAAGCTGGCTGTGGTGGTGCACGTCTGTTATCCCTGTACTCGGTTAAGGCAGAAGGACTGCCACAAGTTCAAGGCCAGCCTGGGCTACATGGTGAGTTTGCGGCCAATGTACACTACACAGCAAGGCCCTGTCTCGAAAATAAAGAAAGAAAGGATTTCCATCGCCTGCAACCAAAAGGATCTGATATCATTAGAGCACCTCCCACAACATGCACTTTAATCAATCCTCGCATCCTTCCTCCCCCTAGAGTACTAGGCACCGAACCCAGGGTCTTTGCATGCCCAGCTCTTCTTCATTTTTTGTTTTTCAATTTTGAGACGAGGTCTCACTAAGTTGCAGAGCTGACCAGGCTGGGCCTGAGCTTCCAGGCCTTCAGGTTTAGGCTCCCAGAGTGCTGGGATTCCTGGCATGCATCACCACGCCAGACTCTCTTCATTTTACAAAGACACTGAGACTGAGTGTCGCTATGTGGCTTCCCTGAGGTCACCTCGCTACGAAGTAGCAGGTTTTGAACTTGGGTCTGTTTAACTGTTATTCTATTTGCCACACTAAGGAGTCGTTCTTAGCAGGTTTATTCTCTTTCCAAGTACACCCACCCTCCTAGAAATAATGGTTGGTGGAAGGAATTATTGTCTAGGGAGGTACGTGGCCAGGACAGCCTCATACCTCTTGGCTTGAGCAAACTGTATCCTTCCTAGGCAACTCAACAGAAGATCTGGTCCTTCTTATAGTTCTCTGAGGGTACTTCTTGTATACTGAGCCTAGGAGAAACAGAGCAAGGCCACCTTGTGTACCTTCCTTCCCTCCTCCATCCCACCCCACTCCCTTTCCAGTGTCAACATCTCTGCTAGTCAAGTCAGGTGTAAAATTCCTTAGCTGAAGTTTGCTGGAGAGACAGAAAGGAAGGCTCTTGGTACTCAGGTGAAGGCTGCCTAGGACCTCTCTTCTCCATACAGCAATGAGTGGCTGCTGGGGTGGGACCATCTCACCGCAGTCCGTCAGGCTGGCTAGCGGAATTTCCTAAATTCCCTTCCCAATCAGCCTCAGGGCTAAGGAAACTGCCCCTCGTGGGTGGCACGGGAGTGCCCAAGGACTGCGGCAGGTCTCATCTGCAGCACTGATTTTCCTCCTCCTCTGTCGGTGGTTAAGACTTTGCGAGCCCCTTTCCCTGGGCTGGGAGAACTGAGTTCTTTGAAGACAGGCCTGCTCCAGGGGCACTGCGGGGAGGGAGTGCAGGTCCTGGGGTAGAGGAGCGGTCTGCTTCCCACAAGGCCTGCAGCCCTTCATTTCCCACAGGGCCAGATACTCATGTGGTCTCTACCTTACCTATGGCGTTCCCGGTCTCTGTGTAGAACAGGGACAGAGCCGTCTCTGCTGCCTGTGCTCTGGTCTTCCTCCTCCACTCTGCTGCCCCTTCTTTCAAGGGCTGGACTGTGGAGAGAAGACATCTGGCTTGTTGGCTGGGGTGGCCTCACAGGCTCCTGTGCTACAGCTGCACAGCCTGACGTAGAGACCCCTGAGAATGGAGCTCCGAGAGAGCTCTGAGGCAAGCTCTTTCCCCCACCCGAGTCCCCTGGCCTCACCTGGACCAGTGATAACCAGAGCTACTGTCCCCAAGTCCTGATATTCACCAGGCGGGGTGCTAAGTGCTTTGTATGCTCTCTGGCTTTCACCCTCACAGCCCCCTGGGTCACAGATGAGCTAAGTGGGACTCAGAGCTCGTAAGCACAGCAAAGACCCCACCTGCTCCTGCTGACTCCAGAACTGGCCTGGAGCCACTCTGCTGCATCTTTGACCTTAGAATGAAGATGCACAGTCTCAAGTTTATGAGCTGAGTGCTTTTGTAAATATAACGAGTGGCTATCACAACCAGCTGGCAAATTACAGTCCCCATGAGCCTTGTTCCTTGGGAATAAAATGAGGATCTCACAGAGAACGGACTGCACAGGACTGACTGTCTCAGGCTCTTGGTCACTGGTGATGTAGTTGCCATCATCATCGTGGTCATTTGTCACACTGAGGATTGAACTCAGGGCTTCTCGCTGAGCTACATCCCTAGCCTCTTTTTGTTTTTATTTTAAGACAGAGCCTCGGTAAGTTGCTAAGTTGCCCAGGTTGGGCTCAAACTTGCGATCCTCCTGCCTCAGCCTCTCAGAGTGCCGGGCTGACAGGTGTGCGGCACCGTGTGGGTGTTTACCATCATTATTAATCCACACCCCAGCAGTGTCCCAGCCACCCCACCACCCACTGCCTGCCCACAGCCTTGCCTTACCCGAGATACCCACTTTGCCCCTGAGCGGACGACATTTTAGAGCTTTTGATGGAGGGCTCCTCTCTCTCTCCAGGTCCTCTTTAAGGTTCTAGAAAACAGACCCTGTTTCCCATTAGAGGCCTGTTTCTGTGGCAGGCAGCACCCCAGTCACCCCAAGTTCATTCTGTCAGCCAGGAGCTTTGGCGGGGCCGGGGAGGGGGGCTAAGGGACTCAGCTCCTTGCACGTATTTGGCCCATCTGCCACAGAAAATCCAGAGGGGGACTCTGGGTTCTAGGGTGAAAAAGTATGCATGTGTGTGGTATGAGAGAGGATGAGACAGCATACCCAGACAGCTGTGAGGGTTTGCCAGAATTTTCCTCAGCACTTACCTGTCTCTCATCCTACTAGACTTGAGATTACTAGGCCTCTAGCATGACAAACCATTCAGATAACTTCTGGGTCCTCCTGGGTACCTTGGTGTTAAGTAGGGGGGAGTTTCTTCCTTTCTGGGTACAACTGGAACATGGCAAAAGTTAAACAAAGACACTGGAGCTTCGTGCCAGCAAAGGAGACTCTAGGTAAGCTGCTGTGGAAAGGGCCTGCCTGGAATTCTGCCAGCTCTGAGGACTCCCTAGTCTCCCATCAGGAGGGCCCATTAGAGGACAGGGCACAACCTAAGATTCCTTGCTCTGAATTGGCTCAGGAAGCACTGAAGGTCAAAGAGGAAGAATCTAAACTTCTAGCTTTTCCCCAGAATTTGGGAAGGCATGAGAGAGGGTGATGTCTGAAAAGCTGGTGGAGTTCTTCGGATGAGGCAGTGTCTGTGTGTACAGAATCCCCTGGACATGCAGCTGCACCCTCTCTAGGACGGATGTCTTCATACTGGAAATGTCCTGCATTCCCAAGGGTCTCAGTCAGTGAGCTGCTGAAGAGACCCTGGTTTCTCTGCCCCACAGCACTACTGCAGGGGGTGGGAGTTTCTCTCTAGAGGCTCCTTCTGATGGCTGAGACGGGGTGGGAACTTCATGCAGCACACACTGGACAGCTGCGGAAGGGGATAAGCCGGCTGCACAGGCCCGCCCTCAGGCTCCCATGAGGCCCCAGCCAAGCCCTGGGTTTAGGCCATAATTCCTTTGCTCTTGAGGGACCCTCCCTCCCAGGATAAGCTATTCTATGCAATGACAAGTGCCACTTCCATGGAGTCCCTCCAACCAGGCTAGGAAGCAAACCTGGGGTAGGCAGGCAGAACAAAAGACGAGGTGAGGGAGGCCAGAGATGCCGCCAGAGCTGAGAGGCCGGGACGGGAGGTGCCCATGGGACACCCCTGGAGCGCCTGCCTCCACCAGAAATGGCTCTGGGGCCTGGGAGCCTGGCCCTTGGCATTTTAAGAGCTAGGAAAGACCAGGAAACACACTGGAAACACAATCTTCCGGGTTATTAGGGGGAGGAGTCAAACCATTCTGGCCATTGAGGGGGCTGCAGGCTTGGGCAGAGAAGATTTCTTGGGCTGAGTTCTTTGCTTGAGCATCTGTGGCTTTTCTTTAGACAGGGCCGCACTTTCCAGTTCTTTTCCCAAATGGTTCTTCAGGGAGGCCACGAGTAAGGCACACTAGAGCGAGGATTGTGAGGGTTGATTAGTGTCCACAGCCACTGTGGACAGACAGATTACATATGTGGTAGGGAAGAGTCCCTGGCATCCTCATGATGCCTCTTCCTGTCACTAGAATGCCCCTGGGGCTCAGCGCTGTGGATCAATCTACGAACAATAATAAGTCTCCTGAATGGAAGGCCTGGGATGCACCGGACACTGGGCTAGTGAATACCTGGGAATCCCAATCCCTCATGCCAATAAGACATGCCACCCATGTCATTTTACAGATGAGGAAACCAAAGCTCTGTGAGCTTGAGGTTTGTGCCCAGGCCCATACTACTAGTAGGTAGGGGAGCTTCAATTCAAACGCAGGGTGCTCTGGGTTCTAAGCCAGGGCTCTTTCTATTTAAGACACATGGGCATACACAGGTACTGGTCAGCTCCTCATGGGCCCAGGCTGACTCCACACCTGCAGAAAATCACAGAAGGATGCTCATTCCTTTGCCTGCAATTTTCTCAAAGGCCTGAAAACTTCTCCAGGAATTATTCTCAATCAAAGCACCAGAGGACACTATTCAAATGTAAAAAAGCATCTTAAGGAAGGGAGGAGTTAACCATTCTTGTCCGTGTATACCTGGTGAATGGGTTTGTCAGGTGTGGGAATGGGACTGATGTGTACCTGAGGAGGGATCTACAGAGCACCCGAGGGGCCCTTTCAAGGGGGACAGCTAAGGCAACCTTAGGGGGAGGGAAAGAGCATGAAGACAGGCCCTGTCCTCCCTGGAGACCACAGTTTAGTGTGGGGGATGCGTCATTCTGCAAATGGTGGTAATTAACAGGTGAGTCAGGACATGCCTTCTTGGCAGACCCGTGAGATCTCCAGCCATCCCCATGGTCTGAATGGCCCCAAATCTCTACCTCCAGCCCATCTTTCCCCACCTGCCTACGGGGTACCCTCACTTGTCACTCCCCACAAAATTGCCTGTGTCCTGGGGCCTGCTCCCTGAACCTCCAGCAGGCTCCTCTGTTTTCTCTCGGTAAAGAGCACTACCATCTACTAAGTTTCCCACTGAGGAACTCGTGAGTTACTCTGGATTTCTTCTCCCTCACCCTGCACATTCTGTCAGTTACAAGTTTAGTCAATTCTTCCTTACATGTTCTCATTTCTGCTTCCATATCTCCAGTCTCACTGCTCCTGACATAATACGGCCATTTCCTACCTCTCAATGGCACCTTGTACTGTTCAACTCCCCTGACCCCCTGACAGGGAAGTAATATTTTACTGAGCCTTGGATAACAAAGAGCAAGCTATGGAAGATCTGGGAGGGGAATGGCAGACAGAGCAAATAGTTTAGGAATGGCTTGATATGTTCAAGGAACTCAGAGGAGGACAGAATATAGAGTATACAGACCGAAAATCAATGAAATCCCCATGTTCCACTGGAAGCCTTACGTGTCGGGGTTAGGACACAAGGAGAGAACTTGGACTGGGGATGTAGCTCAGTATAGAGCCCTTCCCTAGCATGCCAGAGGGCTCAAGTTTGTTCCCTAGCCACCCACACAGAGGGAACCTGATGTGGGATGAGCTGTGTCCCCTACAAAGATATGTTGTAGTTTGATCCCTTGGTTCCTGTGACTGTGACCTTGCTTGGAAAGAGGGTTTTCAGGTATAACTGGGAGGTAAGTTAAGAAAAGGCCGTACTGGAGAAACACACACAGGGCAGACAGCCAGATGAAGATGGAGGCAGAGACTGCTGTTATGCTTCCAGAAACCAAGGAACGCTGGCATAGCCAAAGATGAGGACTCCTTCCTTTGCCATACTTTAGCCATGCTCCTCAGCCATCTCCTCAGTGAGGCCCCCATCCTGGACTGCTGAACCCAGCTTTCACAAAGAACCTGCTAAGTCGGCTTAGTGACAACGCCCCACCCCTGACGTCTGACCAAGCTCTTCATCCTCCATCCTTGTTATCTAAGTCCTTAGCCTTCCCTTTATTTTTTTTGGTACCGAGGATAGAACTCGGGTCCTTGAGCTAGTACAGCAGGCGGCGGGAACCACTGAGCTAAATCCCCGGCCCCTTAGCCTTCCTTTTAGCAAGGATCCTGTTTAGCAAGAATTCCCTACTAACCATGTTCCTTTGAATAATTTTCTAGCCAACTGAGGTAGGATAGAAGAAATAAAGATAAGTAAACAGGAGACAAGGAAAATTATAGTTTTAAAATTGTACTTTAAAGAAAAACACAGTTACCCAAGGTTACAATGGCCTTTTTTCTTATAAGAAACTCCAAAAAAAAAAAAAAAAGAAAAATTCCCAAAGGTCTCAAAGATGTAATAAGCATGCAAACTGGGCTTGTGATTTTTACCTGTAAATTGCTCTTCCTCCCACAGACTTCCTGTCCTCAAGAAAGCTCTATTAAGTGGGCAACAAACTCTAAACTTCATACACTTGCAAATGGCTTGCATTCCAGCATAGCCCACCAAATGGGTAGCCTGATAGACAACAGGAATATACCCGACATCACTCACCTTTAGGACACCCCCAGACCATGTGAAAACCCCGACCTTGGATCACAAGGCACCTGTCAAGGGCCTGTACTCTGTTCTCTCTGAATGTGTACTTCTTTAATTCTGCCTGGTAAACCTTAAGTTAAGGTCCTCATGTCCTTTTTGGGGAATCCCTTTGAACCCCATCTGGTGACACACCGACTGCTCTTTGGCTACAAATCCCCGCTATCTTTGCTGTTGTCTGGAGTTGAGTTCAATCTCTCTCCTCCATCACAATAGTCTTAAATGAATTCTTCGCCATTTGTAACAAGCGTTCGGTATACTCTTTTCCCCTTAAATGCTAGCCCTCACCAAAAGCTAGGAAGAAGCAAGACTACCCAAAGTTAGGCCCTGCTGATAACCTTGGTTTCAGATTTGTAACCTCCAGCAATGCAAGAAAATAAAAGTCTCTCATTGTAACCACCCAGTTTCCGGTACTTTGTTATGGCAGTGCCAGAAAAGGAACATAAAAGCCAGTGCAGGCATTTGGCCCGTGCCCAAGGCATACCTTTTGGGAGTAGTCGAGGGCCTTTTCCATCTCAGATGTGATGGCCTTGATGTCATCACTCTCATAAATGCCTGGAAACAAAGCACACTGTGAGTTCTAGGGAGAGGGCCAGGGGCCTGGGTTCCATAGCTGGATGCACAAGGACATGTGGAGGCGACTGAAGCCCAAGAGTCGAGGGGAGACATCTGTGGGCTGAAGTGACCAGCCCCTACCCCAACACTACCCAATGGTGAGTGGTCAAGCAGTGAGGTTGGCCTGGGACCCAGTGCCCTGCCACCCTTTCACCCACAGGAAGAGTGGGTTAAGTGCAAAGGTCTCACCGCTCCAGGGAATTGAAAGACCCATCCTGGGATTGGGTACAGTAGCCAAATTCTGTAGTGAACACCAGTGTCTCGTTTGAGAGGGACTCTGGTTGTGATGGTTACAACACCAGACCCTAATGCTGGCCTGCCTGGGCTCAACTCTTGGCCGTTGGGCTCTGTGTCTCATTTCCCGTCTGTTGAATGGGACCAAGAATCACCTACTTCATAGGGTTATTGTGAGGAGTGACCCATAACATACATAAAATGCTTAAACTTGTGTCTGGAATGTAGTAGCTGTGCTATTAAATATTTGCCACTATTAGTAATAATCAGTGATAAATGTCCATACCTAGTACTTTTCATGGAAAGAAAGAGCTGGGAAACACCCCAGACTTTCAGCTCCTGTTATGCCACTGATTGTGTGACCACTTGTGTGTCACGTCTGGGAGTGAGTCACCTCCTCATCCGAGGCAGGAGAGTTGGAGGCACTCATGTCTCCCTCTCAGTCACCCCCACGTTACTGTCATGGTTTTTATGTCAGTGCACCACCTAAGCCAGTATTTCCTGCCTATACGTATATACACACACATATGTGGACATGCTTATATGTGTGCACCTATATATACATATATTTAATACATTCACTATGTGTTTACTTAAAAGTGCATTTTAAAAGAAAAAACTGATGTCACTGCCAGCAGTGGAAAGTCAGCATTTTTCTATGATATGTTAAACCAAGCACGTGTCTATCACGCACATAAAACTTGTACCATTTACAACTAACTGTGGGTCACTTGTGAACATCCCACACTCTGGGAAATGCCAATCTAAGGGAATCTTAAGGTCCTTCCTAGATCTGATATTTTAAAATATTTTTCAAGATTTACCTTGAAATTTTTAAAAATGTGGTAAAATATGCATTTTTATTTGTGCTAGGATCAAACCCAGGGCCTTGTACACACAAAGCAAAAGCATTTAGTCTACCACCGAGCTACACACTATCAGTCCTTAATCATTTTTTTTTTTTTTGGTACCGGGGATCGAACTTGGGCCCTTGCGCTTGCGCAGCAGGCGGCAAAACCACTGAGCTAAATCCTCGGCCCTATAAATTTTATTTTTAAACTGAACAATAAAATATAAA